CTTACTTTCTTGTCGCCAGTGAGATTGAGCATTCTAGACTAGCAATTGATATACTTTAGTCACTTCAGAAAATTTGAAGAAGACGGTTTTTTCTTGGTAATCAAAATTATTTCCTAACTAGGTGTTCTAGTAAATGGCTGTTCATATGAACAACGACTTCTCGGTTGATTCTATGGTTCCCATATCAATTCACAATTGATCTATTTCTGAAAGCGTCGGAACACTGCTGCTGCAATTGTGAGATAAAGAAAATTGACATAATACAATGCAAAGCCCCGTTTGTCCTTTCGCTCGTTGATATACCTTTGACCAATCTTCTGAAATTCACACGATTCAAGAAGATTCCATACTGAGGTTACTCATGAGACTACGTTACGTTCAATTCTTAAAATTGTGGGAGATTTATGGAGGCTCAAACACAGGCGAGAACAGGCCTCTCAATAGGTGCGGAATGAAAGTGAAGTCAATGCATGGACCAACTGTTTCTCGTGTTCAATTGACTTGCATAATTTGTCTTTTCTTAAATAAAAAGCAGATAGCATTTTGAAAATGAGCTCTGGCATGACTGCATTTGTATAAATTGTGTACTAATTTGCGATTAGACAAGAGGTTCAGATCTAAGTAATTCAGAAATATGCGTAGAAACTGCAGACGTTTCATCGCAATCCTTCTCAGCGCGATATTGAACAGACTATAGAAGATCTTACTGAAAAATTCACTGAATAAATTGAACGATGATGAGCACAACATTGATTGCATTGCACACTTATACAGGGCATAAATGCATAACTTCTCGTGTAAATGTGAAGAAATACGTAAATGCGCGTAGTTATGCGATTAAATATTTCTCGTACACAACAAAAACACTCGAGGGAAAAGTTACTTTGGATTCACCGCCTCCTACAGAAAAGACATCAAGAAGAATAGTTCAAGAACTTATTTATGTTTGAAGCTTGCACCAATTCCTTATATCTTCTTCCAAGTCAGTGTCCGACGTATCGACATCCTCGCCTTTCTTGGAGCTTGAGTATTCTTGTAATGTGATTCGTGTATTCACGCGAAGCGGTTATAGTACTGAGAAACCTAACCATGTTATCAGATGTAAAGGCTATCCATGTTCTTTTCGCTGGTGACGTTTGAATCTCCCTCCATGTCGGTAGGTCAAATCGAATAAAGGTGTCGCCTGATACCCAGACTAGAAAATCATTTCCGAGACAGTATGCCATATAAATGCTGATGTTCAGACAGTTTCCCTTTTAATCTATTTGTGCAGTTTAAAAATTTATTCGGGGAGGGTTTCTAATGATGTTTTGACTCGTGCTCCAAGATTTTAACCACCACGTCAAAGTCATTACTTCCATATTTTCCCGTCCTATGTGTATCCAGAGGGATGATTATGTTACTTTTTAAGTTTTCGTCTGGATGTTCTTTCATACAGACATGGAGTGGTCTTTCCGTTTTGCCTACGTAATCATCACCACACGTCGAGCAAGAGATAAAGTAAATTGTATCATGCAGTCCCCATCTCTACCGGTAGGACATAAAACATAGCCCTTTGTTCAACATAGGACGGTCAAGCAGGTGATTGCGAAATAGCTGACGATGTATGCATTGGAGATACTTTTCCCTACCTGCTGCCTTTTTTTAGAAGGTTGGGAAAAAGCGCGTTTTTCGTCTTTTTTGAAGTTTTAGTAGTCATTTTGATAGCTTAAACGTTGGGAATTTCAACGGTGTACTTCGTTTTGGAAGAAAAAACTTCTTTTTTGTGCTAATAGTACAGAAAAAAAAACTATGTTTTATCTGATAAGGATATAACATGTTTTGAGCTGTGAGGTCCAGTGCTATACAGCTACCTGTTTCGTTCTATAGGAACTCATTACTAGCGCCCTACCTCGGTCTAGCCGATTTTGTAATAGCTACTAGCTGGACTGCCGGTTAATTCTATGTCAGGTAGCTCGATCATCTGACTTATGGTGATTTATTACTCGGCGTCCATTCCTTTATAGAGGATTATTTAACCTCAGGGGATCGGCTGAACCTAGGGAGGGTGGTACTAATGAGTCCCAATAGGACAAAGCAGGTACCTGTATAGCGCTAAACTTAACTACTCAAAACATGTTATATCCTCATCGGATTATTACCAATTCAGATGATCATGTTTTGCGAGTGTCTATAGAAAATGGTCGATAGAAGAACTGTGTTTTGTAGCCGGGTTATCCTCGTTGAACACGGTTTTCTACTAAACTTTCGATAACCATTCGATAGCGGTTTTAACGCTTTGCTTGGTTTCCAAAAAGAATTCCTTTAATAGGTTGTTGCAGCCAAAGGGGTGTGTGTAATGTTCCGAAATCGCTATGGCTTGATGCCTATGCTGCGAAATTCCATCCACACCGGAGCAAAGAATTTTTATTTCCAGTGTTACAACGCAGCGAAAAATTTTTCCAAAAACCAACTGTGCCATTGAAATCAGTGAGTTCCAAGCTATTAAATGATTATTAAAAATTCAAGAGAGAGGCTAAAATGAGCAAAAAATGCTCAGGTGTAAAACACGATTTTGTTTTTGACGTCACAGAACAGTAAGCAGGCCATTTCAATAACAAAAAAAAAAATTCGTGAAATCCTCGAGATTTAAGCTGCCGACTGACTATTAAAACTGCGAAAAAAGCAGAAAGTTATTTTCTCCATCGAGATCAAAACGGGTGTGGACAGGGGGAGTGTACGTAATGGACGGTATTTTTGAAATTTTAGATTTTTTTAATCACTGTTCCTCAAACATCTCCTCAAGACGAAAGTTGATTCGTTTGTTATGAAAGGCAGCTTTGATTTTACTGTTCAGGTTGAAAACCCTATTGCATTCGCTATGAGACCTGTTAATTCCTTTTAACCTGACGCTTGTGACTGTTCTTCATACTTTTGAGATGGCTAATCGTCCTACCAAGGATAGTGACTCCTTTTCTTTCCTCCCAAATAAACACTTTTAGTTGTTTAGTAAACGTATCGGACAAATACTTTTTTGGCGCTTGAAAGATGAGAAGAGTGGCAGTGCACTAAAATGTTTTTATTGCTTGGTTATCGATGCCATTTTGTGATGTCGCTACATGTACTGATTTGTATCTAAACATTCGAAAACCGGAAGCCAGCCATTTATGTTATTCTTGAGTGATTTTAATATACTCTGACAGTCCATTTGAAAGCTGAAAACATTTGCCCATCTTCACCGTTGTAGAGCAGATGACAAAACAATCATCTATGCGTCAGTAGTAGAGAATTGAAAGCCGACTGAGAAGTGGGGCTCCCGTCTTAGACACCAAAGCCATCACCAGGCTTGATGCTATTCATTGCCCCATCTGTAATCCTTTTTTGTGAGCGGATCATCTTTCTAACCACCTAAAGATCGATCAGCTAAGGCACTTTTCAAAGAGAGTTATGGGCTTTTGGATAGATAAGCCATACATACTTGTTTTTTTCTACCATTCTAGAAATAGTTCATGAATGACTTGAAGTGTGACATCGTGTAGAACGTTTTTATGGAGACTCCATTGCATAGGTGGTGTTAGAAATCGTGCGTGCCAGATGCTTTAGGAAATCAATGATGTTTGGGAGATTGGCTGGTATAGGCTTTAGCAGTTGCGATAATAGAAGGCTTAGAAACCACGTTACCCTCTCCATCGGCCTCTCTACACCGTTGGTGATCGCCTTAACTTTGATTGTTAAAGGATCAATAGACTTAAAATGTTGTTCTGTAATGAACGCTCGTGGGAAAGAGAGGGATAGTAATGCTTCTCTTTCTTATTCTGAGTTCACCCTTTCTCGTTTAATTCTATACTTTATTTCTCCTATGAAGATGTGACTCTTAACTCCATGTAAATTACAAGCGATAGTGCTCAGTGCTGCTTTAGAAGGGGGCTGAGCAGGTGAGAATTTTAGCCCCATTTGAGAGAGTCATGCCTCCCAGTATAATAATTTTAGGGATTTTCTGGTGCGTACTCTAAATTAGACTCTTTTTTAAATTTGTTAAGATCGGTGCTCATCTGATTCAACGTTGAATTTGTACGCACAAAAAATTTTCAAATTTCTTTCGTGTTGTTCCTCTTTATCATACCCAAAATGGCTACAAACAGATATAGACTCAGTTACTATTCTTCAGAGATTTTTGTCTAATTACTTAGCACAATAAGATTTTTTGTATGCGCATTTTCCTAGTAGAGAAAACATCTCGTCATACGTACTTTGCAAGCAAATGCGTAAGGATTGTATATGCATACACAGTAAATTATTCATTGGTAGGTCGCTCATTTCAATCAAATTTCTATCTTTGAATAAACTAGGAATAACCTTGTGGACATTCAGCGACGAAGGATATGGGCCTTTTGCCTAATTAGGACGATTTTTTGTCTCAAGGATAACACATCCCTGACGGAAATATTTAGCTGCTAAATTTCATACTAATTCAAAAGTCTGGCTTTTTTTGAGGCCTCGCCATGTTAGATGAAAGTGAGAATGAATTGCAAAGAATATCTCAGGAAGCAATCTTCATTAAAAGCATAGAAGAACTGCGTGTTGAACAAAGAAAAAGCCTCAGTCCGGAATCGAACCCGCGTTACATTCTATCCGAGAATGCGTGCTCTAGCACTACACCACCGAGGCACATTTGCCCGACCACTCATTCTTCAACATCTCTGTGTTAGCTATCAGCCACCAACCTTTAACAGGTTTGGTCAGGTATGCGATCTCGCTTTATATACCCAGTTGAGCTGTCAGCCACTGTTAGATATGATACTCAAGAATTCTAGTATTTTTACTGCCTTATTGTATTTATAAAGCATCATAACACTGCGAAAAAGCAGTAAAAATACTAGAATTCTTGAGTATCGTATCTATCAGTGGCTATTAGTCAACTGGATTTATAAAGCGAAATCGCATACCCGACCAAACCTGTCAAAAGTTAGTGGCTGATGGCTAACATAGAGATGTCAAAGAATGAGTAGTCGGGCAAATGTGCATCGGTGGTGTAGTAGTAGAGCACGCATTCCCGGATAGGGTGAAACGCGGGTTCGATTCCCGCCTGAGACCTCTTTCGCTCACCACTCGATCCTCTTAGATATTTATGAAACACCATGAAACTGCGAAAAAGCAGTAAAATACTAGAATTCTTGAGTTTCATTGAAAGCTTCACGGGATTGCTATGTCCACCTTTAAATCGGTGACTGATGTTTCAGCGTCTCCGCCTTCCTTTGAGACTGAATGTGTTTTTTGTAAAGTGATTGTATCTGTTTTAGAACTGCTTATAGTACAAATGAAGAACTTATAACTATGCGGACTGTTTATAGTACAGATAAAAGGTTTTTTGTCTATTTAAACCGTGTATGAAAACACGCAATACACACCTAGTGAATAAACCATTTGGTATCAGTCACACTGAAGGTGCCTGCGAATGGGAAGCTTCGAAAGTGTAATGCCTAACACGTGATGCTCTGGAAAGCTTAGTCGATTGTCGAAAGACGCATCGTGTTGTAAATTTACTCGTATCTCAGCTTTTCTATGGTTATATCTGCAAGCAATAATCACACATGCTCTAGCAAATAATGATCAGCGCTTCTTGATAAGTGTTCTCCATGGGCTAAAAGGAGAACGAGAACATGGGTGACAGAATGAACCAACTCCCCAACACCCCATGTTCTGTCCAAGTTTGCAGAGGTCATAGCAATCACTATGTAGATCGGAATGCTCCCACAGAACATTATGTAGACAGATAATATTCAACCTTCTCTATAATGTTACGAATAGATTCAAACGCACGAAGCACTTATTTAGGAAATCATCACCGTGCTCCTAATGCATTTTTCCACCTTAATTTCGTTCTCCGCCTCATTTTCATATTTCATGTAATGACTTTCATAACTGCGCAATAAGATAGCTACTATATCAATTCCCATGTGCTACTATTTTATTTTAGAAAAAGATGATGGTTAGAGTTGATTGCAGTGGTTAGAGGTGCTTTGCGTCGCAAGCGAGGTCAATGGTTCGATCTCGCGTTCATGGCTCATCATGCCGTCCATCCCTCCGGCATCGGTAAACTGGTACCGGACTGCTCTCAGACTTGTCTGGGAGGATAAGCCGCACTGACTCTGTTCAGCGGGAGACAACTGCAAGTCATTGTAAAAATCATATATGCATTCAATCTCCTCAAGCGAAGTTAAAAATTGAAGATGAATGCATAGCGCATCCCTCATCCTTCAAGGATTCATCAACGCCGAGAGCTTTTCTAGCTTTTATTCTTTTATTTCACATCCGTCCATCTCAAGAACATCTTGTACATAATTGTAAAAGTTGTATAAAGTTGGTATCTACATCAGCATAAGTATCGTGCAGCTCTTATTCGATAATTTCATGGTACGTAGCAGTCACTAGCGCAATAATCATCTCTGCATAGTCACTATAGCTTACAATATTGAGCATTACGACACTTTTTTATCACTTTTACTTGATCCGCTTTTACAGTGCGTTTTTCCACTTTGCGAATCCTCTTACTTCTAGCATTCAATTTGTTTACTTGTCTTCTTCATGAACAACTCTGATGTTCAGTGTGGAGTGTGTGGCTCTGATGTGGCAGACAATACCGCCGAAAGGTACGCAAGCCGCCGGACTCTATCAACCTCGCAAGGCTTCAAACAATCTCACATACTATATTGAATGTTTATAGCGAGCTATAGAAGGAATCGGCTGGTAGGATTGCTATACATTGCAGATTGTTCAGTAAATGGTGATAGAAAACCGCTGGATTAATCATTTGTGATGCGATTTTACGATGTAAGAAACGATGCTATATAGTGTGTTAGTGATATGATGCTTCAAGGATAAGGATAAAGCTTTTGGCGTTAATCAATCTCTGAAGGATACGCCATGCAACGCTTTTCGATTTTCAGCTCTGTCCGAGGTAATTGGAAGCATATCTATCCTTTACAACTACTCGCGGTGGCCTTCCGATGTATCAGGTGAGTGCTGCTTCTCTTCCCACACAAATCTGTTAGCAATTAACCGATCGCGGAGAGGTGAACGATTTGGTGATTCACGAGCGTGAGATCGAACTGTTGGCCTTGTGTGCGACGCAGAGCACCTCTAACCATTCGAGCTGGCGGAATCACTATTAACTCAGCCACAATGCATTGCGCGCGCGCGAGCGGCGGCGGGCGAGGCTGGAGTCATGGGTCTGTTGTACCCAAGGAACTAGTAAATAAAATCAATATATATACTGTTTAATATATATGACGCAGAACGTGTAGTGCAACACTGATAACTGCTCTGCAGTACACATGGGATAGGTCACCGATATGAAGCAACATTCTAGACTCACCAAGTCCATTCCGCCACGTCGGTAAATTAGTACCAGGATTGTATAAAAGCTTATAAACAGTACATTGATGAGTCATTAGAACACCACATATCATTGTAGAGACCAAATATGCTTCCCCACAATAGACCATTTATTAGAGTTATTGAGTAAAATATGGCATATCAGGAAGGCAAGCAGACATGTAAGAGATATTTGGATCACTACCAGGCCGACGATTCTTTTTGAGACATCAGTTGAATAATGATTCGTTTGAGAACAGCTAATGACTTATTCCAGAATAATCCATTAAATCGACTGTTTTTGAAACCTCGTGACAAACATTCAAAATAAATTCGAAAAAGAATGTTTTAAGCCTAAACGAGGTTGGTACGCCAGGGCCATACAAAGGTGTTTCGGAGGTTTCGGCCTCCTCGTCAGTGACCCCGCCCCACATTAAGCCCTGCATTGTAGCAAGGAGGGAGGCGTATGTGTAAGTGGTGATGGCATAGTGTACAATGACACTGGTCCATCACCTTCAGTCGATGGATTTGGCTGGTAGACCAAAATTAATGTGGGGCGGGGGTCACTGACGAGGAGGATGAACCTCCGAAACACCGGTGTATGGCCCTGGCGTACCAAGCTCGTTTAGGCTTAAAACATTCTTTTTGAATTCATTTTGAATATTCCAGAATAATAATGATGGATTTTTATCACATTCTGTTCCACAACGATCCTTTCTTGTGAAACTCGAATGTATCGATGTAGCGCGGTAGTAGTGATGGCGTTCATAACGAACGCTCCGCTAGTTCTACCTCGTAGAAAAGTCGGTATCAGACTCTTCCGAAAGCAGTCGTTATTTACATTTCATTTGGAAACTTTTTAGGCTGCTTATGCCAGGACTCCACAATGAAACATCTGATTAGCACTCAATGACAATCAATGAAAGAAATCTTCACGCAACATTTCAATCCACATGTAATAAAACACTGACGATATGTCTGGGTGCTGGAATTAAGGAAATAAATGGAATGCAGGTGCTGGGATTGGTATAGTAGAAGTGATCAGAGGTCGCATGAAAGTAATACGATGCGCTATTGAAAATGCTTCGCGAAATTCGTACTAGAGGTTAGACAGGTGTGATACTTGGAGATGTTCTTAATTTGTGCTCTCGCTGTTTCCATTGGGTCATAATTTGACGTGATTTTTAATGTAGGTACCAAACTTGCAGAGTCTTTCCATTTATCATACCCGTGAGAATCGAGAAACCACTTAAAGAGTGAACCAAGAATTCTGGTCAGCATGAATTTCTCGTACTAATCTGTTATTGTCATGCATTTTGAACCCATCAAGAACAAGATATCCTTGGTTATTTCTTAGACTTTGAGTAATCATTCGATAGCTCAAATTGCACCATGACTTTACTGCGCGTCTTTTTCTGAAAAAACTCTTTCCTTGAGTTGTGACAACAAACATAAATAAAGTTGAATTTCATTCGGCTCTATTTCTCTGCGTGTTTTTGATAACTATTTGATATTTTTCCATATGAAAAATGTGGGAAAATTTCTCTTATCGTTTTATTAAGCAATACCTTTATCATACTATATTGCTAACTCATGACTAAACCTAGTCCTAAACAGCTTATGTCTAGGAGTAGAAAATGTTACTCTCTTCTCGCTGTTCTAGCTCTATGTAGACCTTTTCAGAACTAAACCTAGCTTCCAATTAAACTTATGCCATGGACCGATGCTGAGAGTCTGTTAAACGACCATCCAGAAACTCTAACCGTTTCAGTGCCGTTCGTGGCCAATGTCGTGAAATCCTATCCACATAGTCATACACTCACTTTAACCCAGTAAATGCTGTGCGCCGAGTGTAACTCAATCTTATTTTGGTTATTGAAGCGGACTAAAAGGGAACTTCTAAAAGAAAACCCAGTACCAAATTGCTGAGATTTGAGCTGATGAGTAATTGCTAGAAGCCTTGAGGAAGAGTTTTGTTTAATGAGATACGTGTAGAAGCGCGGCGATTGTAAAACATCTTATTTTCGCTGCTACAGCGATATAAAGAGGAGTTTTTAGTAAAAAGCATTACTAAATCGCTGATATCCGAGCTGATAAATAATTAGTCGAAGTATAGGAGAAAAGTTTTGCTTAGTGAGATAGGCTCTGAAGCACGCCGAGTATGAAACCTAATCTTAATATCAGAGAAAATGTTTCACGCCATTTCGAAGTTGGTGCGTTAGTAGTTTACGTACATTCCGGTGATCTCGTCCGCTCATATTCATACTCCACGCAGACTTCCCTTCTGGTAATAAGGATGGGAAAGCTGTCACGGTTGAACAGCGTGAAACTGTGGTTAAAACGTTTTCATTGTTCTATTCCAGTTGATAGGACTTGGAACGTGTGGCTCTGATGAGGAGGGCGAAACCGCCAAAACGTATCTGAGCCACTATCGTACCAAACTCATAATGGCTTAGATTATTTTCTGTGCGGTATCGTATGCTTATAACGATTTGTATATGTAAGGTTAAGTGCATCAATGTTGTAACTGCGATCACAAAGCACCAAAAAAGTGTTATGAGTAAGCTAATAAGTATTCAAATAGCTAAAGTCTGAGCTATCCAAATGATCACCAAATATCTAGGAAAACTGAAAACGCTTTGTCTTTAGGGGATTGTGAAATGCGGCCTATAACACAAGTTTATCTTATGAATTTATGAAGCAAGTGACGAGACAACTAT